ATATAATATATATATACTATATATATATAATATATATATAATATATATATATAATATATATATAATATATATATATATATATACAAACTGAGTAAGTCGCTGCATTTCACCGAACCGCCTGTGGGGGGCAGCATTACAGCAGCGGCGCAAAAAGCTGCAGGGAATAGCAACAAGAAGAAGAAATCAGACCTTAAGAAGAAGAAGAAACAAAATAGAGGAAAGAAAAACAAAATGTCTCCATCCTCTAACTCCATTAAACAGGACACGGGACACAGCTCAGTCTCTGCCACAGTCAGGCTTCAATAGCGTTTATTTTTCAGTTTACACATTCATTCAAATCATTATTCATTTAATCAAAGTCTCATCGCAGCCGATCGTCAGTTTACCAAGAAACAGGAAGAGCGCTCACAGCCTCCTTATAGCCGAATAAAAACAACGGATTTATTGAATAAGACAAGTGGACCAGAAGAGCAAATGCATGTCAACTCTCTGAAATAGGTCCACGTGTGAAATCTTCTCATCCTGTAAAGTGCTGGTTGTTGTGGTAGTGAGAAGTTAGCCTGTGCTGTCATGGATACTGTAGATATTGTAAAGGTTGAAGTCTTAACAGACTGTGACATTGCTGCAGCCAGTGATCAGCAACAACAAGTGGGTGACACAACACCAATAAAAAAGCAAAGGAGGAATAAGAGCGCAATCTGGAAATATTTCACCACTTGCGATGCTGATGTGACCAAGGTGGTGTGCAACATATGCAAAAGAGTTGTGAGCAGAGGCAAGGATCTAGGACACCTAACCACCAGTACTATGCACAACCACATGCACTACAAGCATCGCAATGTGGCAGGCATCCATAGCACTCAGAGTAGCAGGAGATCGCAGCCAACCCCCACCCCTCCTGCCTTGCTGCCCTTTGCGCCACTTGTTTTCCAGAGTCTCCAATCTGAAGCTCTTGATCAACCAAATCACCCGCTGACCCAGACAATCACTGAAATTGTGGGTGAAATGATTTGTGTGGATCTTCTGCCGTATTCGTTTGTGGAGAACAAGGGATTCTGTAAACTTATGAATGTGATGGCACCACATTACACACTTCCCGCAGGCATTCACTTCAGCAACAAAGTTGTACCACAGCTTCACCAGAGAGTAAAAACTAAAGTGCAAGAGAGCCTTGAGAACATTGAGGGTGATGTTGTTCACTGCACAGCTGATATTTGGACTAGAAAGTTCTCAACCAGCTCCTACTTGTCTCTTACAGGACATTGGTTTGTACAGAATATATCAGAGGGTGGGGCAGTGACACATAAACGCGCCAGTGCATTGCTCGATATGAAGGTCATCGATACAGAATACACTCCAGCAGAAATCTTGCAACATCTCCAGGACATTGTCGAAGAGTGGCAAACTATGGTTCCACGTAGGTTTACTGTCGGGTTCTTTGTCACTAACAACACGTGCAATATGGTGAAAGCCATGTCAGATAGTGGCTTTGAGCACATTAGATGCATGGCTCACTCCCTACATCTGATTGTAACAGGTGCTATTGAAGAGTCTCATGGTGTGGTTAGTGTAATCAATACTGCAAGACAGATTACCAGCGCTGTACACATGTCAAATAGAGCCATAGCTAAACTGCATGAGATACAGGAGCAACTTGGCCTTGCTGTGGCTTCCTTAATTCATGATATGCCGACCAGGTGGAACACAGTGTTGCTCATGTTGCAGCGCCTGCTGGAGCAGAAGAAGGCACTGATGGCCATGTCCACAGAGATGGACCTTGGTGGGTCCTTCTCAGAGCATCAGTGGACTTTGATGGAGGCGGTAGTCAAAGTGCTGGAGCCGTTTGAGGAAGCAACATGCACAGTGTGCCAAGATGATACGTCCATTTCCTCTGTGATCCCGTGCATCCAGGCCCTCAGAGCTGCACTGAATGAACTTATAGCAAATAAGGATGTGGGTGATCTGCTAGAGACTTGTGAGCTAGTTGGCTTACTGCAGAGCCACCTTGAGGAACACTTTCAACCTGTCTTTGAAACGCCCACCAACACCTATTTTAAAGCCACACTCCTGGACCCCAGATTCAAGATCATGCCCATGGCACTGCTCAGCAAGCTGGAGTTTGGAAGGCTGAAAGCCGCGGTGGCAGTGGAGGTTGAAGAGTTGTTGGAGCAGCACAGCATGCCTTCAGCAGGGGAAGCTGGCTCTTCATCAGGCGTGGGGCAAGAATCAGAGGGCACCAGCAGCAAGCCAACAAGCCTTTTCTGGGGTGCAATGCAGAGTCTGACAGCACATAACGCAGCATCTTTGTCAAAGACGGTGACGTCTTCAGGTTTATTGGAGACCTACCTAGCAGAGAGCAGCACACAGTCACTGGACTCAGACCCAGTGATTTCATACTGGTCAGCAAAGATGGTACAATATCCTGCACTGGCTCAACTGGCGATCAAATATTTGGCCTGTCCACCAACAAGTGTCTCCTCTGAGAGGCTCTTAAGCACAGGAGAAGATGCTGTTGCTCCAGATTACAGACATCTCCCTGTCCATGAGCCACAGCTGGTAGAGTACAATTTGGTGAAATTTCAGTAACTGTCTTTGATTGTGTGTTTTCTTGCCTTATATATGCATTTCATTGTTCAAACCTTGGATTAAGGCAGCAAAAACATAGAAACTGACACGAGTGCGGCAGAAAATATATGAATAAAGCTAGATTTATAGTCTTTAGTTTCCTTCATGTGAAAGCTCTGGTGTTGTTAATGTTGATGTATGCAATGGATCTTTGACGGAGCCAATGTCTCACTACACATCTTTAAATGTGTACATTGTGATAAACATGATGAAATAAAGAATAAAAACACAAAGAAGAGTGTGTGGGGTTTTCTTTTCATGCTTGGCTGTCATTAATAATGCAGATTGCATTGAGGGTTCCTCTGCATCTCTGTCTCTATTTTGTTTGAAATACAATGTTGCCTTTTTGAAAACATTTAAAAAAAAAGTTTCACACAGAGTTTCTAAGTGCACTTCAGGTTTAATATTTGAAACATACTGAAAGCGTTTGCTTGTATTATGTGCAAGCTCAATCTATGCACTGTTGCACTTTCTTTCTTAATATAAAGCTATGTACATGTTGAAATGGCTTTGAAGCCTCGATTTATATAACTACAAAGGGCCGAGAGAGCCTTGCAAAATGGTTCAAAATCATTAGAATACTTGTATTATTGTACCTGTTAAAAATATAAGTCAAAATATTTGATTCAGAAATTCTGATTTTAAATTTCTGATCTACCTCTATGTCACTTAATGACCTGATTTATGACCTTTTGATAAGCTCTCCAGGTTTTCTCTCCCTCTTCTCACTGCTAGTTATAATCAGCAGGTAGTAAACTAAAGCATCTGACCATTTGTATTACCATGCTATTCACTACAAAGCCAACACATCTCCTGATTGTCTCTTACCCACTTATTAATGTACATATTCATATTTTTCAAACTATCAAATCATTAATCTCTCCTTTCTCATGTTTCACCTTGGGTCAAAGACACAAATAGATCAGTAAATATGTTTGAGGAGGATCTCCCAGAAAGTACTGTCTCCAGTTTGTGCTGATATTTAAAGTGTGTTGCAGGCTCTTTTCATTGCATGTTGTGTTTTTTATGTCGCAGGGATCTCCTCCAGCAGATCAGCAGGGAAGTAGCCCAGCTTGCGTCCAGTGCTGACCTTCAAGTAGCCGCCTTTCTCATCTCCTTTCTTCACCACAATCTGAAACACAGAGTGACAACAGCACAACTCATCATCTCAGCATCAGTTCAAACCCGATACATTCTCACATAGGCCTCTACAGATGGATGATGATTGATGCACCATGAACCATTTGCATGTGCTGATACTGAGGGTACAACATTGTTAACTCTTTTTGTTAGTAAAACATTAATAAAATTAGCAATAAACTTGGGCAGCGTGTTGATGTAATGACGTTACATGTCTCTTGCTTTTAAAGGCTGCCTTTATTTCTGGTGATTACCTAAGAAAAAAAACCTGTACTGGCACATATAAACTGTTTTTCAACCTAAACTATAAAATAAATGAGTAACAATAGCACCTACACACGAACAACACAAACTCACACACAAGTGCAGTTACCTGATCTTTCTTCAGTGTGATTTGTCCCATCTCTCTGTTCCCTACAAAGGAGCGCAACACCTTGAAAACTCTTTCAGACGCACGCACTTTTATGAGGTAGTTGGTGGGGAAGTAGCCTGTCTTCTCTCCCATCTTTCCCTGATAGTAGAGAGGGAACAGACTTTTAAGTTCATCCTCAAACAAAAATTCCAAAAACAAGAACAAAAATGACAACTGAAACGGGTTTACCACAAACTGAAACCACTCATTTAAAGGATCACATGAAAGCTAAAAGAATCAAGAAATTATGAAATTAAACTCACCCTCCACCACTCTTCATTGGAGTCATCCAGTACTGTGATCCGATCACCAGGGCTAATACGCAAACACATACATAATAAATGTATTTTATCACTTCAAAATTAAAAAAGTACAGTGTTCACTGAAAATTAAGGTAGGTTTAACTGAATAAATAAAATAATAAAGGCTTTATACTTCATGTAATTATTGCATGTTGGGAATTATTTGAGTCTTTCAAACGTACTGGAAGTCGAGGTCGTCTTTCTCTATGGCCTTGAAGCGGTAGAGAGCCAGGTAATAGTGGGAATGGGAGAATGTACCCTTACTCTGTTGACAAAACAGCATAGATGCTACTGCATGTGACAGCTGAATTATAACAAAATGATGTACAGTATTATGGCTGGTGGAACAGGGCAGCAGCTGCCGAAAAGTAAAACTGAACTGCTTCATTAAAATGTTTTTCTTACCTTCTCATCTGCTTTGTCTCCTCCTTTCTCCTTCTTATCATCAGGCTTCCCTGTATGAACATTGGACATCAGAGTCATGACAAACTCCTCGCTTATGATATGACTTAACTTAAAAAATGTAGAACAAATCATTTAATGTTATCCTCACTATTTTGGGTACGTAATATCCTTTGTTAAATTTCTGACTTGTTTTTTTTTTTTGCACTTGTTTTGTATTAGTGTATTAGGTTGGATATAAAAATGTTATTTTTATGATGACAACTAGTGTAGTATATATAGAGAGAACATCTAACATCATTATAGTTTGTTTGTACCTTCTCCTCCCTCCTCGTTCTCTTTGGGCTGTTGGTTCTCCTCTTCTTCTTCCTCCATCATCATTATCTGGAGAAGAAAAACATCAGAACTTTACACAAATATATTTCATATCCTTTCAAAACAAGTTTTTACTTTGATGCCGCTATGTTTGGTTAGTAAGTTATATAAGTTTTTGTTGAAGGTTTACAGTTTGATTGAAAGTACGTAGTACACTCACATTTTTCTTGTCATTTTCATTCTTTTTGCGCTCCTTGTTTGCCATGATGACACCGACCCGCAGGGTGTCAAAGACGGGGTCGTTCCGGTTTGGGTTGTCTTGTTATGGAGAGAGTAGTCATCCAGATAATGACATTTTAGTACAGATAATCAGATTTATGCACTTTCACAAATAGGCTAGACTAACTTGACAGAAAATAAACTGATAGATGACAATTCGGACTCACTTGGATCTGGTTGGTCACTGCTGTACAGGGGGGAGCTATAGGCCCTCCTGAAGCCAGGTGGCTACAGGAAGCAATAAGAGAATATCTTGTTTCAGTATTTCCAATCATTTTAGTTCAGATGGATATATGGATGTCTGTCTCATTAGGGGTAAAGTAATCTGTATAGTGGCCGAGTGTACTGTGGATAGAGTGTATTTCTTTATAGAGCATGGCAGTAGAACTAACAGGACTTACAATTTTGCCAAAGCATCTCTGGAACTCGACATAGGACTGACATGAATGGTGGATGTTGGTCTTGCAGTTTTTACACCTTAGAGCAAACTTGTTGTTTACTGAAAAATAAAAACAAAGCGATGAGGTGAGTCAGAGACCAAGATTAAGCATTCTATGTGGAAAACATCAAATATAAGGAATTATAATGTCATGATGAATAAATGTTGTTTGTCTTGGTGGGGGTTTTTTTCGACATAATTTCCTATACATACAAACTATCATGCGAGCGCAGACGTCACAGAACTTGGGTTTCTTGCAGTAGTGGTCCTTGAACTTATGGGGTTTGTCATTGACCCGGACAACAGGTGGTGGAGGTTCTGGTTCCTTCTCCTCCACCTCCACCTCCTCCTCATATATGAAGTAGACCTGGACACACAAAGGGCATATCTCCGTTATTTAAAAAAAAAAACACAGTACGTAGGCAACATTGTGATGTTTGCAGGGAAGCAATGCCTGCAGGAGGAAATCATTTGATAATGTGTTTGGATAAAAGTAATGTTTAAATCTTTAAAAAAGTGATTAAATTGCCCATATTTGATCATGATCAAAATGAAGTGCCTCTTGTTGTCTTTAGTGTTGTCCATTTTTCATCATGTCATTTCATCATCAAAGTAAAAGAAAACATTTCAAAATGTTGGTTTGAAAAATGATGCACCCACCAAACCAAATAACCAGTTCACAGTTAGTATAATTTCTGTGTCCTTTGCTACCCAGTGAAAGTCATACTGAGAGAGAGCTGCCATTAAATAGTGCACATTTATTAAATGCACTTTTATAGGATTTAACCATAACTGCGGTGTAGTATATCCAACGTCTATCATCCCACGGGGGATTCAAGACAGAAACACTTATGTCAAGGCTCATATTTTTCCAATTGACGCTGCACTGCGTTCCTGACCCAGCTGGTGGCTATTTTAAACTGCCCGGGAATGGCACCGCTAACATTGGGGGGGTTGACATGGTCCTGTCACTCACAGTGTCTCCGTCCTCTTTTACTACATTGTCAGGAGCTGGAGGGTTGTCATGGAAATCCACAGAGTTTTTGTCATCCTCCCTGACACCCACACACACACACAAAGAAAAAAAACACACTGTAAGATCAAATCATGCAGCTACATATCATAACTTTAACGTAAAAAAAATGTTCTCCAAAGTGTTAACTCTTCGTTAAACTTGACTTCTTGTTTGTCAGTAGGTGAACATGTAAAACTTCAACAGGACAGGTGAACATACAAACTGCCACGGTTTAGGTTACGAGGTTTTAACAGGATAACCTCATGGAGTGACCTGATGTAACCGATGTGCTTTGTGTCCATATCAAATTGCCATTTCACCTCAAAATAGTTGAGTGTTGATTATTTTTCCTGTGAGACTCATGGCATTACTGTATTTGAATAAACTGTGGAGAGACATGGATTAAATCTGCATTGGTTTGAAGGTTTGTGTGCTTTTCAGTCTGAACTGACATTTAGCTCACTAGAATTTGAATGAAGGCTTGTGGAGATGGTGAAGAGGTGCAGGCAGGCAAAGTAGGACAAGCAATATATTTGTATTGTAGAAATAATTTAGGTGTTTTCAGGAAATATACTCACTGGTCCATGGTGTTTGGTGGATAATGTCAGCACTGCCCCACCTACAATGATAAGTATATATATTTATTTATTGGCTTTTTTCTGATAAATGGCAAGGATTTTATCTCATGTTTTTGAAGCAGCACAGTTAAAAAACATGTTTTTAGTAAACTGTTATATTACATGCCATGGGTTGATAAAATCAGCAAGCACCAAATGTCATATATGTATATACATTTTCTTAGGAACCCAACTGAATGAAATCAGATGATATTTAGTGTTTATATTTCAAAATCATTTATGAATGTTAGCCTTCTCATGGAATCTAGTCAAAATGTATTAAATCAATTTCTCAGTGTTTTAAATCCTTTATCTTCTATAAGAGGATAGTGATTAATAAAAAATACACAGCAGAATTACATATAATATTTGTGATGTGGAAATGTTGTTTAAGACACAGCACACACAGAGACACTAACATATATAAAGGATGTTCATCTCGTGTGTGTGAACACTTAACAAAAAAGTTACATGTAGCTATGCACTCGCATTCACACACATACTGTACGCGTCCACTTGACCCAAACTATTCTAGGGTTGTGAAATTCAATCTCATCACAGCTAAATTTGGGTGTCTCTCTGCCAGTCAGAAAAAGAAGAGTAAAATTTTACAAAGTATGACCGCAATAAAAATCAGTCCTTGTGAACTGGCGAAAACATTCACAATATGACAACTGTTCAGCTAGTATTTCTAAGCTTTATGTAACTTTCTTACTGAAGTTAAACTGAACAAACTGACTTACGTGCTTTTTTCATGCAAACACATTTTGCTAGTGGAATATCTAAAAACTTGAAACTAATACTGGAACATACCTCTTGTCAAAATTCACAAAGCTCGGGGGAGAAATGACAAAATCCAGTGTGTGAGTAAATCTATCTGTGAATGAGTCCTTCACCTGCTGCCGATGACTGGATAGCTGCACGGCCAGTGGATCTGAGTCTAGCAAACTGGCAGACCAACCTGCCTCCTCACTTCAGGCCCTCAGGATTCTGTGTCAGTACTCGCGCAGTCTGGGCCCTAGCTTTATTCCCTGTATTTTTCTCTTTAGGTGATTTCCAAAGTGCTCGGTGTGAGCATATGTCTGTATTTGTGTACTTACATATGATTTTGTGTGTGTGTGTGTGTGTGTGTTTGTGTGCGTGCCAATCTGAGCACTCATGTGTCAAGCTGACTATTTGCGACAGCTGGGGACCTCAAACGGAGCACCGATGACGAGGGGAAATCAGATACTTTCTGCCACTGTCTTCATTACACACATACATGCACCTCTTCCCCCTTGTCCCACTTGTTCACAGACAGCAGACACACATAGGCATTCATACTGTTCAATGTCCTTATCCCATTAGTCCTTGCAGACCAAGAACACCCACCCAAGTGTGTCACCTTTATATTAAACATTTTATCTGATAATTCACATCAGTGCTCTGTTAAACACGTGTAAATGAATTATTATGGTTGTACTGTGTTATAGACAGTGAGATTTTGTCCTCAGTGTCTATAACACAGGTAATTTGAGGGGTTCAAAGATTTGAGTTTACATACAGTTAAACACATATTAGACATGTTTATAAGGCCAATACTTCCAATACTAAATATCTTAAAATCTAACCTTTTGAAACAGCACTTACACCATCATGTATGGTGATACAGAGAAGATATAAGTAAAAAAAATGTAAATCAAATGTTTTAATGACATTTGGTAAAAAAAAAAAATTAAAAAAAATTAATTGATTGTCTAGATTAACTTCATGAATGGAGCATAAGTGTGTGATTAAGTCACAGTGAACTAATGGTGAGCTAAGGAGGTGGGTCATTGGGTCACAAAAATCAAAAGGGTTTTTTCATGTTAGAAGCATAAATGTGTGTTTACACCTGGTTCACCTGAGAATTGAAGGTTTGTCCTGTTGGTGGTGCTAGAGGTAAAAACATGAGGTCATCAAAATCAGCAGCAGATTAACAATATAGGAGTATTTTTGAGCTGTGGGCCTTAATGACCACCCCCTTTTTCTCATCATGTGTGCATTGTTTACGTATTAGTTAGTAAATAGCTATTATATTTTGGTAACTTAATTAGGCACAAATTGATTTGAGTATTCACTCTATATTACGTAATAATTCAGGTCTCATTGTGAGGCCCTTGTCCTTTCAATTAAGATTGTGCTTCATGGTGCATACAGTCCTATAAAACAACTGTGTAATTAATCAAATGACCACACACTAATTGCGATACCCCAGGGCTGTTCCCTGCTTTGCTATGTTGTGTAATTCAGTCTTTACCAAAATCAGAGTATGCCCTCTGAGATATGTTAATCACAGACAACCTCAAACACACAGTACATGGGATGTGATATGCATGAATATATTGTATACTATAAAATACATATATGTGCTACATTTAATCCTGCATCCTGATAAACGATGTGATCAACTTCAGTGTAGACAGGTGCTCATGAATCCATTACAGTGAACTGCAGACATGAATCCCGGGCCTCACAGTACTCTGTCATTATCATGTCCTCTATCAAGGAGCTCCGCACTGATGTCTGTCTGGAGCACTACAAAGGTCCCGTTGCATGTCGGGTACAATACTCCCTGAGCACTCAATGCGCATGCCCGGTAAAAAAAAACTCCATTATTTTTTTTGCTCGGAATCTGTAAGAAAAAAAAAAAACAGTGGGAAACTGTGAATTTGGGATTACATGGATCGTAATGGTGGCCGGAATACATCTGGATGCTAGACGGTTCATCGGAGCAGAGAGCAAAGCGACGGCCGGATAAGTGAGCACCTTCTCGGGACCTCCTCAGTGTTGTTGGGACTCTCCACAATCAGGAACATTTCAGTCACTTAGCTCTGGTAGCCTAGCTGCTAGCGTTAGCCTCCAGATCACAGGCGCAGTAAAATGAAGCGTTATTGCCCTTTGTTTTTAAATCGGACTGGAAGACGTTGCATAAACGCTGAGAGCTGATCGACCGCGCTGATACGTGGGTTGAAAGGTGGAATTGTTTATTTTACGGTTATTTATTTAAGTATCGGCCGTTTTCAAAACATTCTCCGGCTAGTCCCGTTAGCTGCCCGGCTAACTCTTGATTCTCCCGCGAGCCAGAAAAGCGAAGAGAGTAAAACTTCGCCAACACGGAGAGAAAGGTTGATAGGTCCTGCTAACACTGACGATAGCTCACGACTGTCAAGAAGCCACTGCTATCTGCTCTTCGAGGGTTTGTGAGCAGCAGTATTGGAGCCTGGCTCGTTTCTGGTCACCGTCGCTAACACGCAGGAGTTTTGCAGCGGAGTGTTTTGTGCTCCTGACAGCTGTCACGACAACATAGTACAAAGTAGGGTAGCCTGTAGCTTAGCTGTTAGCCTAGCTGCTAGCCTGCCGTGTGTCAGTGGTGAGACGGTAGCGTTAGTTGGTGGGATATTGTTACACTGGCTGCACACTGCGGGGATGTCGACTCTAGCTCGACTACGAATCCCATCTATATTTTATTTCCAGCTCCTTTCGGGTTGCTGTAGTTTGTTTGCTTGTGCGTTGCTTGTTGGAAAGGCAGCTGCTTACATTGTGGCTGAACATCCAGTAAACCTCGGGCCTATCCAAACACACCCTCCCACTTCAAAGTAGCCACAACTTGCTCTGAAGTTAGATTATTTTTTTGCATCTCATGTAATCATTTATTAAAGAACGCTTGGATCACGTTGATTGCAGGAAATGTTTCTTTTTATTTTCACGTCAGGTATTAAACTCTGGTTCTCCCTGTCAGATTACATAATCTACCTCCACCTTTCTTTGCAGGCTCACCATCTTCATCCAAGACTCTACTCTGATGTGAACCGAACAAACGAATCTGCAGGAGTCGTCCTCTAAGTTGAGGATCTGCCTCATAGCTGAGGAAAGTGTTTGAGCATCAAGTCAGGTTTTACTGGCAGTCTGTGTGCTTCTCACCCACCAGCATGTACATTGGACAGTGGATACCTTAGCCAAAACAGATCCTGGCTTCCCAAAGATGACAAGGTATGCAAAATGTGCTTCAGTTATTCTTTTTCTTACTTTACCATGACAGTTAACCAATAGCTTTTTCTTTTGCTGTGGCCACACCCAGTGGTGAGAAGTTTACGTCACATTTTGGGTATTAAATATTTATCTGTAGAGGCTTGAATTGTCATGAGCACATACATAAGGAAAGTAAATATTGGGCTCTTTGCCAGAACGACTTGGAAACGTAGAGCACAGCTGGAAAGTACATTTTCAGTCATTGATGTTGGAATGTAGCAGCCCTTATTGTACGCATGCTTTGTGATTCTGTTTAACCTGGGCTGGATTTATCATGGTACCCATTTTTCATTATGTAATATTTAATGTTTGACATGGACATTTGGTTTTGGGTAATCAGGTGAACATGACTCATACATTTGGCATGCAGGTTGCTTAAATTAGAACATTGATATGCCAATGACTTCATTACAGAGACATTAATTTATCCATTTCATGCCTGCGTGTGTTTACTTATTGAGTGACTCACGTTGAGGCACAATAATCTACACTGTTGCATATACATACATTTTTAGTTCAGCGGGGCCTTTTTCCGATTTTTACAGAATAATGATTTAGGAATCTGTAATTATTTAAATAAAAACCCAATTTAACTCCATTTTATCAAAGAAATAATATATTAACACTTTGCTGCTTTTCCAAGGTGCTGGCAGGCCGCAACGACAAAATGATGGGAGGCAGTGAGACTGTAAGTGGGGACAAGGATGGGGTCCACACCACTGCAATACACGTCCCCATCGGCTGGCAGAGGAGAATGGAGGGCGGGCGGGTGATCTACGTCAGGTGGGTTGGTTCACTTTAGCAGAAAGCACAAATAAACTTATTTCTGATGATTATTAATATTTGGACAAAGGATTTTGATATGAAGGCATATCAATGTTTTTGTGCGTCAGCTAAATAATTTATTCTGGAGAAATTAGAAAGCTGGTTTTGCCAACATATTTAGAAGGATATTACCCTGAAAGTTGGCAGCTTTTGTGGATTTGTTATAGACATTTGCATAAAGATGCAGATTTGTTGTGGGGGTTTTCTCCATTAAAGATTTCCTTTTGCCTTATTTTCCTTGGCCAGTTCAATTTGCGTACACATATTTCATTGGACAGTGGTTTCTGCATCTTGCTCAAAATTAATGCCAGGACTGTCTAAAGCAGCAACATTAAACCCAGCGTCTTTCAGTTTGGATATGCAGCTCTGTTTTGGCTATAAATGCTTCAATGTTAAATATGGAGATTTTGAGGTGAGTTCAGATTCGTAACCTAGAACTTTGCTGTGCTTTGAACATATCTTTGTTTACACCTTTTCAATTTGCTTTGAGTTTGTTGTTAAGGTTTGTTCCTGTCTTCTTTCTGTAGTCCCAGTGGCACTCCCCTCTCCTCTCTGGACGAAGTCAAGACCTATCTGTTGAGTGATGGCACCTGCAAGTGTGGTCTTGAGTGTCCACTCATCATCCATAAGGTAAAGCCGGGCTATACATTTTAAACTTGTGTGTGCGTGTGTGTAAGGGTGTGCAGTACAGACAATGCATACAGTTTATCTCATATTATCTGGTATTTTGAGTTTTCAGATTCGGTAACTTTGTGACATTTACACATATTTATCAGCATGGCAATGACCTAACCCCTTCAATTTCAAATGATTAGTGGTAATTTCAGTTCTTTTACTTATTTGTTCTGGCAGTGAGGAAATCAATACATGCTGTTTTTATAGCAATGTGTTTCGATATTGCTGTTATGTTGAAAACAAGATTTAAAATAGCCTCTAACATCAGACACTGTATGTGCATAAAATTTTGCATGCAAATTGTAAAACTCAGTCAAGTTCATAGTAATATTGAAGTAGCATAGTAGTTACTGGCAGCACTGGAAGGTTTTTATTAGCATATTATGCAGGCATATGACATCCCCACATGTGTTGAATTAAACAAACTTTAAATGAGGTTTGTTCAACTGTGTGGAATCATGGCTAACCTTTTCTTAATTAAAAATGTGAATGCATATTGTCTGCGATTAGCAATGATGCTTTTGTGACTATGACTAAAATACCCCCACTGGTGCCCTCTAACTGTCCAAAATTTGTTGAAAGAGTTCTCTCTGAATTCTGTCTAATCCTCTTATGTCTGGTGTCTTGCAGGTTTTCAGCTTCACTGTGGGAGTGAAGGTGGAGCAGCACAGCCATCCGTTAGGCAAAGCAGAGCAGGACATGACCAAACTGTGTAACCACCGCAGGAAAGTTGTGGCTATGGCTGCACTGTGTCGAAGTATGCAGGCCTCACAGCTGCCTTTTGCCAACATTCATCATCCAGGTAACTTTGGAAGCATGGAGACACGCCGTACTCCCGCACCTCTGTACTATACAGATTTACTAAACAGATACTGATCAGCATCATGTAGCAAGTCTTTTGTAACAGGGTTAAATGTTCTGCATGTGCAGCATTAACCTCATGTAAAGGGCTGCAGTGGGACTATGATCACACAGGCTCTGCAGGGTGCCAACAAAATTGTACTCTGTGTGTGTGTGTGAGGGCTTTGTCACCGTCATCATCATGGTGGGATGAATTAGAGATGAAATTTTATTTCTAAAAGTAGGAGAGGCTCTTATTACCAGGCTTTGCTAGGCATGTAAATACACTGTTTTACAGTAAACCATGTGCCTCCAGCATACTGAAACAGATGTTTCCATTTAGTTTCTCCCTCGCTCTCTTGTTCCCTCGACACAGAGAAACTGTGACATGATCCATATCCACGTTTAGATACATTTTTAGTTCCTACTGCCTCAGGCAAAATCCATAAAATAGCTAAATGTGTCTTATTTTCCCTGTGGGAAGGGTCAGACAGATTTTCACTAGAAAACATTTTTGATTGTTTGTGATCAGAATCATCACAGGAGTGGGCGGGAGTGGGATGTGATAACTGTCAGAGAAGGCAGTGATGGTCGGAAATCCTGCGGGAGAGAGTGGGTGTGGGATTGAAAAAACTAGTGTTGGTCAGTGCAGAAGCTGTAAGGCACAGAGAATTCAAACCAGTGATATTTTAAAAGCAGTAATGTACATCATATTGGGAATGAAAGACATTCAGTAAAAATTATGATGTGTGGTTGGTGGATACTTTGTTCAGATTTGTTTTCTTGCTGCAGTTCAATCGATATAATCAAACAGAAGTGCAGTCTTACAAGGCTTACGGTGTGCAGCAGAGTAGTTCTGTCATTGTGGTCCTGTGGATCTGTCTCCATCTGTTTTTCTTTTCTTCATAAGTCTGTTTATGCTTTGAACAACTCCCTTTACTTGCGCTCTTGCTAATGTGCATTCGATTAACACAGATCAACCATAGTGCACACAGTATTGGGAAAATAACAAGCATAACATTATCTCTTTGAACATGTGCGGTTACATCTCACGCTACTACAGATTTCTGTATCACACAGACTTACGTGTGCCTAATAACCTGAGGTATGCAATGATGGACTGTCCAGGAAATACACAGGCTCCTGGAGAAGAAATAATATTTTGTGTTGCCTTTGACACCCATTCTGCTTCCACAGATGTATCATATTTTCTAAAATTAAATACCTGATAGAATTGGAAAGTTTTAGCTGCTCATGCTTGGTAGTATTTTCACAGTAATTAGTTTGTATACAAGACCCCAAAGTAAATAATGCTGTCATAGGGATGTAACAACAATTTAGTAAATGCTTTCTTTGTGTGTGTGTCTGTGTGTTTGTATTTGTGTGTTTCCACTTTCAGAGATGAGCAGTGGAGTGGACAGCCACGATCCAAAGCGAGTACATGTGCAGCGGGAAGAAGAGGACCATGGCATTTACCATCCCAAACTCCATCCAGTTACAGCTCGACCCCACAGCAACCTCCACCCGAACCCCTGTGCCAGCCCCAAATCCTCCCACCAGTTTATTTACCCTTACAATGGTTCCTCCCCTGTCCTTCACACAGGCACAAACTCTCACCATCCCCTAGAGGCTTTGAGAAGGCTTCACCAGCCTCCTCCTATCCCTGCCTCCTCCAGCTCTTCCTCCAGCTCCTCATTCCCATCTGCCCAGAGGTCACCTCGCACCCCCACACCTCAGAATGTCAGTCAAGGTCAAAGAACACCTAAAACCCCGGAGACTCCGGGTTCTCCTCGGCTCACGCCCCTCTCTTCACCTCCTCCCTCTTCCCCTATGACCATGGGTGGAAGAGGAGCACAGACTCACACTCATCATCCTCATGGTGTCATTGTGGGAGGCTCCCCCCTCTCTCCGTCTCCCTCTCTCTCTCCCTCTGTCCATAACATGAACTGTGTGTCTCCTCACCAGCGATCCCGCCACCCTTCAGCCTCTCCTTCCCCTCTCTCTGATCAGGGAGGAGGCTCAACAGCAGCAGCAGCAGCAGGAGGAGGACTGATGGGAAGTAACTTGTCTCAGAGGAGGAAATCCACCTCTTCCTCTCCACACTCCCCTCTCTCCAGTGGCTCCCCAAACCCCAGCCCCCACTTCCCCAAGTACAAGTTGGAAGACATTTTAGAGCAGTTTAAGAACTCAGGCAACAGCAGCACTAATAACCACCACCTACTTATCTCTACTAACCCCTCCTTACTTACCAACCAAAGCAGTAGCAACCTTCATACTCTCTCCTCGAAGCCCTCAAAGAGCACCATAAGTCCGATTCCCAGCTCAGTACCGCCAAGTTTTGGGTTGAACTCTGCTGGGCCTTCTAGTTTACCTCTGGGGCCATTTCTAAACCACCACCACCACAGCCATCAGAGCAAGCTACCACACCCAGCTTCTTTCCCTGCGAGTAGCCTTCTCTCTGCAGCTGCCAAGGCTCAACTGGCTAACCAGATAACCCAGGGTCAGAGCTCAAATGTGGCCAGCAACCCGGTGAGCTTGCCCTCTTCTCTGGAGGCACAGCAGCAACAGTCATCAAAGGTAACAAACAGCACTTTACATAACAGCCACCCTCCCTCCTCCATCGCTTCTACTAGGCCTCCCCATCCCTCCCTTGCAGCAGCCTCATCCGTCCTCTTTCCTCCATCCCACTCTCTGGCCCAGTCCCTGGCTTCCTCCTTGCCCCACCTGCCTCCCACAGCAGAGCGCAATGCATCGCACAGGAAGAGGCAACGCCGATCACCCACAGTGCTCAGCATGCTAAGAGACACCCAGCAGCTGGCTAATGGGCCGCGGAAGACCCCACCAGGAGATGCCGTTACTGCTACAGCTATCAACCTATCCTCCTCCTCCTCTTCCTTCCCCTCCTCGCATTCCTCCTCTACCTCAGCTGTGCAGAACCAGAATGCTGTCATGTTAGAAAACCATCATCATCTCCTCCCCGGGCAGATGCCAAGGCTCCCTGCTCCCAGACAGATAGCACACCTTTCCAGGCCTCCTCGACAAAATGAGGCCCTGGATTTCACTACAGGCCTGACGCCTACACCTCTTGGCTTGGATCCTCCAACCCAGCCTCTGTCTGCTCTGTTACACCTGCTCAGTGTGCAGAATGCGCAGGCCACGGCCTCAGCATCCAACTCTGCTTCAGCTCAGCCAGGATCTGTGTCTATTGAAGGAGGTGGACCCACTAATAAACAGAGCCCTAGACTGTCACCCTCTTCTCCATCCCCTCATTCTAATGCCAGGCACCGACAGACTCAGTCACCATGCCGAACCAGTAACACTAATCCCCTACCCTCGGTGCCGCAGCCGCTTTCTCCTCCTCCCACTTTCTCTCAGTTCAGATCTGTGCAGTCTCCATCACATCCTCAGTCTACTAAATCCAGTCCTCTACAGAGACATTCTCCTTCTTCTACAGTGCTGCCCAACTCGAATTTAGCTTTACACAACAGCAGCAGCCCATCCCAGCACATGTCCCCGCCTCCCTCAGACAAACATCAGCAAACTGAGAATCACATTCCTACAATAGACTCTGTTTCCCAGGCACCGTTGCGGGAAGCCTCACCACAGGGCACTGTGGCAAGGGAGATTGGTAGTAACAGCATATCTACATCAGTCGACCTGAGTCATTCTCAAGGCAGTGTTTCTATGGCGATATCCAGCTCCCCGAAGCCTCTTGATCTTAGCAACCATGTCCTCGCCCTTCTTGCAGCATCTTCCACTGTTCCCCAGGGAGAGGGCTGCTCCTCTGACCGTAATACTGATGTTGTGATGTCTTCCCAAGGAAATCCCACTGCAGGTGAGGATATTTTTCAGTCCAAAGTTTGTCTTTAGTCTTGATTAAATAACCATAACTTTTGAATGCACATTGAATTACTCTGATTCATAGATCTTGGGAGTATGCTGACAGTGTACCCATATAGGCATCAAGATTCTCTCAAGTGTTGCTCTATCAGGTGTGATTAAAATAAACGATGTATACTTTAGATCAGGCTTTACAGATGATTGCATCTCTTAGGATTGTTGTTCGGGGGCGAGGGGTACAAATGTTTTGTTGTTGTTGTGCCCTAGGGTGTTGGTAGGGGGGTGTTCTGAATGTGAATGCACATGTTTATTGATGTATTATTGCTAGCTTCTCAATGTACTGTTTTGTAGCTAACTATCTGGTACTCAATGCTGTACCAGAGTCAACCACCACAGTTAAATCCTGTGTGAAATGCTACATACTGCTGTGTCAGTTAAAACAGATGTGAATGATTCATGTCTTTCTAACAGGGCCAGAGGAGCCTAGATGCATGGACCCGAAGGTCTCCATAGTGACCAAACCTCCAGCAGCCACTAGCCCTGGGCCCACTATCTCCTCTCGTCTTGGGGATAATCACAGTCCTCATACACCTTCAGCTGTGGGCGACTCAACGGCTCCCTTACCTCTGGCAGAGGCCTTCCCCTTCATGAATCAAGAGCAACTGCTTCAACTGCTGTCCTCCACAGGAGGTCTTCCATCCCTCCTGGACCCTGCAGGCCTGGCTTCATTGCCACTGGGGGGGTTGTGGTTGGGAGGTCAACATGCACAGATACCCCCCTCCAATGCTACACCACAGAATCTTGCAGAGCAGCAGCAGTCAGAGCAGCAGCAGTTACTGATGCAACAACAAGAGACACAGCAGCAAAACCAGGATCAACAACAGAAGCAACAACAGATGAACAACAATCCTCTGTTTCCCTTGTTGCCCTTGTTGAGTGGTGCTCAAGGGGAGCTGCCTCTGAACCTTTTGGGCCTGCTGAACCCTCTCCCAGCCCCATCCTCAACCCCTAACCCAGGACAGGAAGCTGATTTAGGGCTAACAGAAAAACCTAGCCTTCAGGCTCTGCTTATGGCGTCCTTGTTGTTCGGGCAACATCAGGCACCTTTGTTATCTCTATCTGGCCTCGGTCAGTTAAGCCAAGTCAGCTTGGAAGTTCCTCTCCAGCAGCCACAGCAGCTGGAGGGTCTCACCCTGGATAAGACCTCTGGCCTCCTGGATCCATCAACCCTACAGGGCCCAGGGCTCTTGGAGGTCGCCCAGGGCCTTCTTTCCATTCCTCCAGGAGCTGAGGCCTCTATCCAAGCCCTGCAGTCTCTGCTCCTTCCTGCCACTCTTCCTCCTCCTCCCGCAGCCTTCCTGCCCCTCAGTCCTGCCTTGCTCACTGCTGCCCTGAGCTCTGCTGAGCTCCACCCACCTCCCCACACCCATTTAGCTCCTGCACAGCAAACCCAACATACCCAACCTCAGGTAGGCTCCCCTATCTGCTATAGCTATTTCCTCTGAGCTCCTCCTCGTTTCCCTACAAAAACCTATGAGCTCATTTCCTTAGCTGCTCCATTGTTTTCTACTGTGTTAGTTGCTTGTTTGAATGACATGAATTTACTTTCCTCTAAACAATTTTCATATCCCTCCTCAAACTATGTGATTTTTTTTTTTTTTTTGGGTGGGTTACAGTCTGTATATCTTAATGTATTTCAGATGTGAATGCAGATGTTTTCATTTTGCATTTAAAAAATGTAAAGAATGTGTGCGAGTCTTGTCTCACTCTATATCTTTGGCCACATTCACTATTCTGTCCTTTATTTGCCTGAAACTCCTCTCCTCCTCTTTTCCTCCTCTCCTCTCCTCCTCTCCTCTCTAGGTATCTACTGATGCTGGTGTTGACACCCTCATCCCCCTATCTCTCCAAGGCAAGGACAACCCCATCCTTCAACAGTTACTGCCCACTTTGCTTAACCCTGCTGTATTAGGTGAGTTAGTGCCGATCCTCTGTAATCATTTTCTCAAGATTAAATTCAGTATGTTGCTGTTCTCAGTATTAACACTTTAAAGACCACAGGCATTCTGTAACAGTAAGTCATTGTATCTATGAACTGTGTCTTTGTAGGAGATCTTTCTGCCATCACAGGCCTCCATAACATTTTGGGGATTGGAGCAGGTTCCATCCTCCTACCCCCAGTCCAGGGCATGCCTCTGCTGCAGGGTCCTGATGGAGCCATCAACTTGCTGAACAACATACAGGTAGGTAACTGGTGTGAAGTTTGGTGGATGAAGCATATCAAGAGGTGAGAGAGTGTAAATGTAAATGTATTTGTGCGCACCAGTGTGTGTGACTCCAGAGTCCTGATACCTGCGGTAGCAAAATAACATTACATGGATTCTCTAGACTCTTGCTCTCTCAATTTGACATTAGCAAAACCTGTACCAAACCTTTAGATAGCAACTTCTCATTTTTAGCTGGCACTGACCATCGCTTTCACTGATTAAAGCGCTAAACGTCGCTGGCGGCAGATCATATCAGCTGTTTAACGTCTTCTCGCTAGTAGATTGTGTGATGTCAGTTTTAGTGGCTTTCTTAGAGTTTTTATATTGTGTCTATAATTTAAGCTTTGAAACTAGTAGTAAGTTACTAATAGTTTAGAACTATTAACTTCACTATTTCTATCAAGTAGCTTGTGAAAAGGTGTGCAAAACTTTTCAATCTACAGCTGTTTTCAGTGTGTCAGATATATATTTAACCAATATTTAGGTAAATATAAGTATCTGTATCAGCAGATGCCCATTGCTTTAGTTCAGTTAGAAAACAAATTGTTTGGTTCACTAACATTTCTTTTGGGATCCTCGACTTTTAATGATTGCCTCAACTTTTTTCCTGCAGCTAAACCTTGCACCACCTTCAGAAGGAGAGAAGCCAGTTTCATTGCAGGAAACACAAAGCCCTGCCCCACAGGAAGACATTCCAGCCAGTCAGATTGCTCCCGAAGTGGTCCCCAGTCCTGTTCCAGCTCCAGCTCCAGCCCCTACCCAAGAACCCACCCCACCCCCACAGCGAGTGTCTGAGGGCAGGTCTGTTATCGATCCTTACACCTCTTTCATGGACACGATTTATACCTCCTTCCTACAAGTCAGTGCTAAAGAGCAAGAAGAAAGGGCCCACTTGGGGCCATCTGACCCAACTTCACCCTTCTGTGCCTTACCGCCGGTTTCTTTCCCTATGGAGCACCATACCCCATCCACCCCTGTCTCAACTCTGCCCCAGGCAAGTGCCCCAGTCTCCCTCAGCCCACGTCGGGCCTGTTCCCTCCGCAACCCAGACTTATCCCGACTCAGCCTGGAAGCAGCAGCCCATTCCCCAGCCCAGGGGACCCCCAAACCCACTGAGGATGGGTCTACGCTACCCTTACAAAGGAAACCGGTCATGGTAGATGGACATACTCACCCAGAGCCTCCTCTGCCACCCATATACTTGGAGGAGGCAAAGACAGACTGTACTGGGCCGGCTGCGGCTGTGTGCCCCTATGTGGAGGCAGGGGTGGACAGGCAGGGGCATCTTTCTCATGCGGGGTACCTCAGTCCCAGGGATGGATGCAGTGGGAGGCCCAATGAGGAGACAGCTGGGACATTGCTGCACACTGAACAGGGAAGGGTGAGTGCCTGGGTCTGCTGTTTCTCTCAAAAATTGTTGTTTTTTTATCACAAAGTGAGACTGCATAGTTATACTGCTGAGACACAAGAATATAGTTTATGTTTGGACCAGAGAATTTAAAAAAGAGAAACTTAGCATTGTCATTGCCCCTGGTACCTATAGATGGTTTCATCATGATGTTTTTGTAATGTCATTTCTGATTCTAATTCCCAAGGATCAAGCAGGACCAGCGGGTGGAGCCAGAAGAGGAAGGAAAAGGAAACAAACGTACGTTGTCTTTTTGTCTTTTTAACAGTTCAAAGTGTGCCTGATTGCAAGACCTTGCACTGTAATGTATCAATGCATTAGACATGATTTTTTCTGATGTCTCATAAAAACAGTCCTATTAGGTTTATAATAGACTGTATGCAATACTGATGTAGTTGTATATACCTTGTGTATCAGGCTACAGAATGTGTTAGAAGACTTCAGAGACATGGATGCTACAGCACTAGAGGAAACCAAGGCTACGGTAAGACCCAGTTCCCACATCTATTGGTTTGGTGCATTTTCCCAGTCGTTAATGAATATGCTGCTGTTACTTCTCAGCAGCTTGAGCTTTTTAACCATGTTAGTGGCTGATCTTCTGGCTGTCCTCCAGCACCACCATGAGGTTCACATTTGTGGTTTTGGGTGATACCAGGCATTTAGCAGACATTTCGTTGTTCCCGCTAGGGATTAATTGAATGTTGTGAGCCCTAACTTTTCATCCAGCACCATAATAAGGACATTTCCATCACCTTCAGATGTGTTTTGTTTTTAGTACTAATTACTAAAAGCAGATAGTTATTGTGTTATCCACAAGGTGGCGCTTGTGATTCTTTGTTGTAATGTGGGAGCACTTAGTTCATTAATACAGTAACTTCAGCAACACAGTGAGACTGGGTGAGCCCAGGTTCACTGTTCATTCTTGGTCTTCAAAACAGCACTTGATAAAACAAAAAATGATATTAAAATGTGGTGAGATTATTTTCTTAGCTGCTAGTTCCAAGGTCAAGAAAATACTTATAACCTCAAAAAGCAGCATTTTGTGTTTTTGCTCAGGATGCTAAAAACAGTAAAACCAAGACACTGAATCTGTGCAAGCTTGAGGGGCAGTATTCAGTCTCTTACACTGCACTTACTACCCTGTGAAGGGTGGAAAACAAATGCTAAATATGGAGGGTTTGCTGAGGAGAGGGTTTTGTTCCATGCTGGGAATGATTGTGCAGTTCTGACTGCAGTGATAAAATCATTACACAACTAAGAGGCTGGAAAAAGACAAGGCTGATGTGACAAAAAGTTCTCCCTTTCTTGTTCCAGACAGCACTGCTGAAGCCTGAGAGGTCAGTCCGCGGCAGGAGGCGACGAGGCGCCAGGTCTCAGAGGCAGTGATTGGTGGAGGGAGCTGTAAGTCAGAGCTGTTCGTCAATCAAAGGCGGCCAGACGCCTCTTTCCCCCTCCATCTCTCCACCATCATCACCACTGTTAAGACCTTTCTTTTTTTTAAATTCAGCTGCACTAATATTATGCCGTTGTCATGTCAACCATTGTTATGGCAACCACTATGGAAAAAAAAAAA